AAGACTTGCCTACACTGCCAAAAGCGTCAATATGTGGTATAATCATCATGGTAGCATTGCGCCGTATGCAACTGACCTAAACTCCATAGAGAATCTTCTGAAGAGATTTCCTTGACACCTCTGCAAAACCAGAGGCAGATGCAGTAATGAATCAAACATGAGAGTTGATGAAGCATTAAGTGTACACCCTGTACAATCCAGGGACATATTTTGCAGGAGATTCTTATTTATTGGTGATATAAAAAATATGTAAGAAACACAATTTGGGATTTTTTTTCAGCTATGAGACAGAATTATTAAAATGAACAGAAATAAGCATGTGGAATATGTCACTCTGCGTCTTATATCAGTTTCTTTCCTTTTTTTTTTTTTTGGTTAATTATGAAAAATAAATTAACTTTTCTATGATATTCTAATTCATGGAAGTGCACCTGTGTCATAACAAGCTAAGTGAACTGCATGAAGTAAGATCAAACACTCGCTGCTGCTTCTCTTTCTGCTCCTCGGATACATAAACAGCTCCTCTTGTCTCCGTCCGTCTCTCCAAGGTCCCCGTTACAACCAAACCCGAGGAAACTTTCCAAGAGATTCAAAGACACCCAAGATGAAAGATTTATTTGTTCTTTTGAAGTTACTGCTGCGTTTTGTCATATTTCTGTAGCAAATGCGCTCTGGTAATGGAATTTTATTTATTTATTTATTTTGCATTGTGGTTGGTTCTGACCCAGAACTGCCAGAGAGGGGAAAGGGGGGGCTGGCCTGACGACCGCGCTCTTGTCTCAGAACTCCCCTAATGAGGAATGTTTCCGTAATGGAATCACTTCCTTGCAACCTCAAAGGACTCTGACTGTTTTTTATTTATACTTGGTGATGCGACTATGAGCACAAGAAGGAAAAGAGGTTTGTGCAGAAAGCTAGGTTATTGCATCTGGGTGGCTTTGTCTTGCTTGCATCCTTCCATAGCTGGGTGCCCTTTTACATCAAGCTTGTCTGGATTATTTCTTTTCACTTTCTAATTTCTATTGAGAAGACCTTTTTGTTGCGTTGTTTTGATTCAAACGCACCGTCTCGCACATCTGGTTCCTTTGCCATCTTATTTGTAATTGACATGCAACAATGACTGCAAAAAAAAAAATAAAATAAAATAAAACTTTCTCTTCCTCCAAACCTAGAAATCTTTGCTCTCATTAATTGCATTTAAAAGCCAAATGGTTTATGCAAACGTTTTGAACGGATGCTTGGATTTCCATTAAGCTTTCATTTTAATACCAGCTCATTGTTCTCATTTTTGATTAGCAGCTCTATCTTTTAGATTCATCAGGTTTGCTACTTATCAGTCTCAATCTCAATTCATCTGCTTAACCAGCAGAGAATCACACTGCCCCCTAGTGCCTATCGCGATTAACAACAAACAAGAATTGATTGTGCAGCTGTCAGGCAGATAATATCCTGGTGCTCTGCCAATGGCACCACACTAGAATCTGCCATGGGCACCAATGCTGCACAGCAGTCTGAGACTGCTCTGCCATCAGCAGAACTTCTGCACCAGCAATCGATGGGACTCATTTTAACAGAACCATGTGAAGGGCTTTAGAAATTGTGAGGATGGTGAAACATGTTCGAAGTGTCCTGAGATGTGGAACTTTGTGAAAAAAAACTATTTGTAGGAAAACAAAAAGGGGCAAAATGCAGCGGTTATCAACGGAGCAGGAAACACAACGCTGATCTTAACACAAGGACATAGTGCCAGAGAGTTAACGCTTGTTCTGTTATTGCTTGAGAGACGGCTGTCTGATTTCATATCGAAAACAACCTTCTTGGTTGAATGAAAATCATTTAAAATCTAACAGAGATATAAATATAAACTTTTTTTTTTCATTTTTAACTGCAAATACAGAAAAATGCTGGAAGAAAACCTGTTGGAGGCTGGAGAAAACTTGAGACTGTCGCAGGGACGAATCTTCCAGCAGGACAATAACAATACCGTGCTACAGTGGAACGGCTCAAGTCAGAGCAAGTCCACATGTTAGACAAATTATGGCCCTTGATCAAACCAAAATAATGCCCATCTCCTAATAAACTGTCTATTGGAGTACCATGAACACATCTACACTCCAGTGACTTTGGGTTGGTATAGCTTAAATATTTGTTTCAGTTTAAATGCAAGACATGAAACATTCCCAAGAACTCTAATGTTACTCCAGGATAGCACCACTACACCTCATGAAAACCAATAAAAACAAAAATAAAAAAGAAACAGATTGAACAGATTGAACTTGGCAGCCTCGTTCCTCAAGAAAGGGACTGGGCTGCCAAGTGCATCTAAGAGCCAAAAAGCCTCTCGTTTTAATCTGCTTTCACTGGAGCCCGCCCTGAACAACTGCCCAAGTTGCCATTGTCAAAAACCAACATGTCAAGTATGACGCGGCTAATTTTTGTGGGGTATAAAAATACCAAAACTACAGTAAAAAAAGCACAAAAAGATGAAGGGATAACATGGCAAGCGCTGTACCAAAGGCTCAACATAAAACAGGCAATAAGATTTAAAGAAATCAACTAATTTGTTGAAAGTTTGAACATAAAACCTGATTGTTACAGTCCCATGCAGGATACGTTCTGTGCTCAGGAGGTCTCTGGCAACTCTCGCTTTGTTGTTGCATAAGTGCTTTAACTGACAAGGCAAACGAAACATCTCCTCAGAAACAATACAAGACCACAGAAAGCACTTGAACAAAAGAGGATTATAATGAACCCAAGCTGCCTTCGCGTAAATACATCATGCTGAGTGAATTTGCCAACCTCACTCTCTTCTGCCTTCCTTTGACCACAGTAAATGAGAATTTATGTCTCCACCACTTTATCATTCTTTACTTTTTCTCTTCCCCCATAAGGTCGCCACGGCACACGAGACAGACATGTTCACCAAAGGCAACCTGCCCCTCACAGTAATTACATCAGAGTTGGATAGAGCCTCATTAACATATGTTAGGCATGTCAGGAATTTGCAAGCGCCGTTTTTTGTAGGGGCCTTTCGTCGGTGTGGAGCTCCCATCCGTTTGGCGTCTCATTTGAGGGTGCAACCTTCCTATTTACACAGACATCAATCACCTTGTGCGGTTTTAGGAAGCGCACGAACGCACACTCGCATACACACACGCAAGCAGGAGAGAAAGCAGAGCATGTGAGTGCATATGCACAGAGGTGTTTCCAATACGTAAGTCCTGAAGCGATATAATAGAAACAAATCCGTAGAGGCATAATGGACCAAGTTCTTAGTAAAATACTGACACTTCAAAATAAATGCACACCACTTTCCAGGTTTTCTATACGTAAGAAAAGAGTAAACTATACTGCCTTTTTTTTTTCTTCCACTTCAACATTACTGTGAAAGTTTTGTCATCGAAACCTAATGAGAGTCGTTCTAAACATAACATTATGTTCGCTCGTTCCAGCACTTTTGGTTTATTTTTAATGAAGTGTGTCTTTGACTGCATGCATAAAGCTTGACACCAGACTAGTGGCTACTCCTGAAGTCACCACTTTGGCGCCGTCGGACCCAGCATATGTTGCCTGCAAGAAGAAACGTACTGTTTGCCCTTCACCTGCTGGTTTGCGGCCAGCAGAATGGAATGACCTATTTACCAGCCGTGCTCACTGCTAAAGATTATATCGAATGGCAATTTCGCATCACGTCCCTTTTCAGTGGTGACGCTTCTACATGTTTTGTGCAGTAAAAGATCGAGTATAAGCTTGATAGCAGAAATTTTAAGAAGTAACTCGGAGAACGTGGAGCAGAAACTGTCAGTGAGAACGACTGCATCAACACACTGTTGAAATCAGCTGGCGTGTTAACGGATAATCTAAAAGCATAAGAAAGACGTTTGTGGCTCGCATTCTTTTTTTAAGAAAAAAGCAACAACAATAAAAAAAAAAACATCCAGTGGCAGACAGAAAAAAAGAGACTCAATAGTAAGCATAAAATGAGTTGGAGCAGAATTAAGAGGTAGACAGGGAGGGAAGTCATTTGTTCCCATCTTTTGCTCCACCAAATGTCATTTCAGTGCCTGAAGACACGTTCATTTCCATCACCATCCATTCTCTTTCTCTATCTATCTCTCCCTTTCTTTCACATCCACTGTCTCTGCCTTTTCGCTTTAAGTGCACTTTCGCCCACACCACTTGGAAATTGATTGAAACAAAATGTCACAATTATGCCCTGTAGCTCGCCGCTTCAATTATTCATCAATTAAGGGCCAGGCTCCTTTTTTTCTCTCCTCGGAGCTGATTTTTCATTCAGTTTGCTCGAGATGTATGGCTCCCCTGCTGTTAACCAGTCCAAAGTCATTAGTTTCTGGGTTTGCAATTAAACCTGATGCATTATGTATGAGGCTCCGACTCAGCAGACACACGCTCAGCAGCAGCGGCGGCGGCGGCAGCAGCAGTGGCGGCCGCGGCAGCAAGTGAACAAGCTGCTAGGCTCTGGAGGCGTGGATGAGAAATTAATTTGCTTGCAATGAAGTTCTCTCCAACCCTCCCTCTATCTCTCTTTCTCTGGCTTTCTCCTGCCTGGCAGGTTGGAACAGATGCCGCCAGGAGGAGATGGAGGTAAGAAATTAGAAAACTACATTCAGACAAGGTAAGGGGGAAGATTTTATATTGTCGTTAAATAAATTATTGAGCAGCGCCACATATTCCTTGGCCTTCATAAACAGATAAGAGGCCGTTTGCATGCACACCTTCACAAGTCGACCTGTGCACAGAACACTGGCACCATGTAGCCGTCAAAGACAATTAAAAGATGTTATTAAACTAAAAGTGCTTTTGATTGCCTCCTTCATCCTTTAAGCCTGACGTCTCCCTCACCGAGTCGTATAAAAACTATAGATGAGACAGAAAAAAAACTTTGTCTGACAGTGAACCTGGCATGCATTTAAAAAAAATACGTCATTCTGCTGCCACCTAGTGGCCACTTGACTCTGTGGACACAGAGACAAGCACCCTTCAGTATTTCTGTATTTATTTCCTCTCAATGGCATAGTAGAAGGGGTCTTGTGCTCTGAAGCATTTGTATGAACACAGGAGAGCCCGGACTGGGATAGTGAGCGAAGTCTTCATCTTCATGTCCTACAGAAGACAAACGACACAGAGGAAGTGGACTTTAGCCGCTGAATGTCTTCACTGCTTCAGAATGAGCTTTAAAAAGAAAAAAATCTATTTTGTTGTCAATAAAGACATTTAAAAGATAAGTACATAATAAAGGGGGAAGTAAAAAAAAAATAAAATTTTTCTTTCTCTTTTTCTTGTAAACATGAACGTATGCACAGTGTTTCCACAAACGAGAAGGTCGAGGTTGAATATTTCATTATAGTTCCACACTTCCAGTGTTCTTGAAAGAACCTGAGCCCCTGAAATTATTGATTGATAAGAGTATCACATTTTTACGAAGATAAAGACAAGTCATTTTACAAAGCTATCATTAATTGCAACATGTCAAGATCCAAAGTTAAATTGTGAAGACATGGGCAATTACCTGTTTATTCAAATATGACACAAGAACAAAGTATGTTGATTAGAAAGAAGGACGACCAAATAATCAGAGGCTGAATTGATGGTTTTCTCTTGATAAGGTCTGATCACTTATGCATTAAAAAAATATTTTGTTTTTATTCTGCTGATAAGTCCTAAGGCTTTCAGAGAAAAAAAAACATTCATTAGGCTAAAAAATGTCACAAAACAAGCTAAATATTTGTCTTTTTGACTCAACATAGATTTTGTACACATTAAAGAGAAAACCGAGGAGTCTTTTTATCCATCCTGGAAGTAAATGATGAAGTCAAATCATGCTAAAAGCAAATCCATTAACAGTCCAGGGAGAGGATCCTATCAGGAAAAAGTAAGTCGTCCACAAAAACATGCGGGAAATCACGTTTTGTTCACATAAAAAAAGTTACATTATATTACTTGGTGTTGAAAAGTTAGCAGAAAACTGAAAACGAATGTGAAAACACAAAATCACAAACAACTTCAGAGCTGAAGTTGGTCATCATTGACCTTTAAGTTGAAATTTGTCCAAAATAGGACTCATTCGCAAACTGACGCTCCCTTTGTACAAGTTTATCATTTGTCCTCCAGGTGCAATCTGATCATTTTACTAATCAAAAAAATTCAAAATGAGTAGTTTGTTGAACATACTTCATCCTCTTGGTCAAGTTTTACCTGCATGCGAACATTTGAATGTTGAAGCACGTGGATTAAAAATTAGAATAACATGTCACTGTCGTGGTTTTCATCACAAACACAGAAGATATCAATGAGTGTAGAAAGTGGCATTCTGACCTTCTTCAGATTGACAAACTGCACACACTCCAACCAGGTAGTGAGGAAGGGGCTATTGCACTCTGTACAAAAGCTGCTGCTGGACAACAGGACATTCACCTCTGGGTAGTGAGGAAGACTCAGGTTGATCAGCGAGAACTGCTTTCTGACTTCTAACAAAACAAACCTGGCCGCCAGCTCCTATAGAGACACATCTGGGTCACAGTTGCGCAACGACAAGCGTTTGAGTTGCAAACATGATCGATTATAAGAATAACTTGACCTTCAGTGGCAGGATCTCGGGTCGCGGATGTAGTGGCACTGGTTTACGTTTAATCAGCCAGTTTCCCTCACAGCGCAGCTCCTTCAAATGCAGCAGGTGGAACTAAACATTTCCGATGTACACATTATGCGATGTCATTTATTTCCTTTCCACCAGAAAACCGTGATGTTGTGGATTTTACTGTCCAGTGTACCTCTACAGGAAATATGGACAGCATGTTCCCAGCCACATCCAGAACCCGAAGCTTAGTAAGAGCTGTTATTCCCTGCAGGAAAAGCCAGATGGGTAAAGTTTTAGTCACCATGTATTTTGTAAAAAAAGTCAGACTTAAATTTGGTGCATCCAGCTGTTGCATCTTACAAGCTGCCATGATTTATGGCTGCTTTAACAAACCAATTAGTACATACCCACCTCTGGCAGGTTTATCAGCCTGTTTCTGGCTGCGTACAGCTGTACGAGGTTCATGCAAAAGTACAGCTGCCGAGGTAGCCTTGAGAGATTGTTAAAGGTAAGGTTGAGCTCAGATAGCTTTTTAAGACAACCAATTTCACCAGGAAGCTCCTCCAGCTTGTTATCAATCATACTGAGGAGCTGAAGCTTCTTCAGCCTGCAAATAAACAGATTTTCAAAATCTCTAACAAAGGAATATAATATTTCTCATTTGATAATCTCACCACTCTGATGCTGGTAAATGCGTTATGTGCCTTAGACTAATTTAATGCACAAAATATAAATAATAAACTCAAAAACATTTTAAATTGTGTGACAAGGATGATGATGCAGGTTTATTTTGCATACAAATTGTGAGGAAGGGCATGATAAAGGAGTAAAAAGAACCTGGTGGCCTCAGTCAGTGAACTGAGATTCTCACACTAAAATGTTTGTCCAAAATCATCTCAGAAGTGATTCACCGGAGCTAAAACCAACCAAGATCTGCTTCTGTGTGACGCAAACTCTAGAAAATGTCGTAGAAGAAGCATCAGGCTTGCTTCACAGGCAAAAAGTGGAGCAAACTCACTTTACATAATGTGGGATAATGTTTAGTGAAAACAGCAAGGGAGCCAAAGTACTAACTATACAGAGGTCAAAGGTTTACTTTTTCCACATTTTTTTACTGTGAGATGATTCTACTGAAAGAAAAGAAATTAAGTGAAAAGTTTTCAAAATCTAAAAAAAACTGTGGCGAGTGAAGAGAGAGAGAGAAAAAAAGAGCAATTTTAGACAAAGTTGGTACATTTATTTACCTGCCAATCTCTGGTGGCAACCTTTTAATCTTGTTGTGGTTGAGATTGAGGACAACAAGGTCTCTTAGGCTACCTTCAAAACATGATGACACACAGTCATTGAGTCGATTCAGAGTCTGTGTTACCAACCCCAAACAGTCCAGACCTGCCTACCAATTGCGTCAGGTGACACCACATCAATTTTGTTGCGGTAGAGGTAGAGTTTCCTCAGTGAACCCAGGTAGCTGATGGCTATAGGAATCTCCCTCAGGGCATTATTTCCCAAATTCAGCTCTGTAAGCTTCAAGATAAAGTCAAAATGGTAGATTGAGCAATCTTTGTGATTTGCTGAGCAGATTACGAGAAATAAAGAGGAGACTCACGTGATTTAGAGACTGGAAATGGCTTGGGAGGTCAGAGAGAGAGTTGTAGCACAACAGAAGGACTGAGAGCTTTGGGAATCTGGAGACAAACTCAGGGACACTCTTCCACTGATTTGAATTCAGGTTTAAAGAGTTTCCTTTGCCACATAAAGCTCTGACCACGGTTCCTCTCAGAGCAAAACCAGAGGCCATTTTCCTGATCCCACCTCTTGTTGCCCTCTTTCTGTTGAGTTCCCATGGCGACAAAAGTAAACAATCTTGTTCAAGTTCTTGCTTTGGGGAAATGCGACCTCCATTGGTCACGCCTCAACTAAACAAGCTGGTCACTGTTTTACAGGTTTTATGTGTTAATGCTCCTTTTGTCTGAGTGTCTTTAAGTAATATAAAAATCTCACATACATGTGGTCAAATAAGGTATCACCAGTCAGTAAGTCACTTAACAAATTTGCAATCCAGATTGTGGATACAAACAATTAATCGGTTCACAATTCATTTTTGATTAATGATTTATTAGCGTAAATATAGTTCCAACTGATTACCTAATAATTTTGCCTTAAAATGTATTCAATAAATGTTATTTAATTTATATTTAGGTCACAATAAAAGCACTTAAAATGTTCTGCCTATTTTGTAAATTTTACATAATCCATTAGTCATATTTATATTTTCTCATTTTTAAGACTTTGGATGGAAATTATCAACAAATAAGCATTTATGAATTGGGCTTCAGTAAAGTTTGCTTCTCATTCTGATTCAAGCTTTTTTTTTTAGTTTGCCCATAAGGGGCAAACTAAAAAAACTAAAGTAATCCAGAGCTTCATCAAGTGCACCTGTAAAACCACAAAATAAGATAACAAAACATACGGTTAGCAATAAGTTTTAATTATATATTTGAAACATTACTTCTGTGAAGATCAATACATGTTGTGATTCGGAGCCATTGACTTAATCTCTCCACAAAATACATAAACACATAATCTCATAATTTCATTATTATGTGATCATAATAATAATAATATTATTATAGGAACAGTTATATTTTACTGAAATTCTCTTACATGGAAAATATATACAATATACTATCTTTTACCTGCGGGTGGATGTGCCGTGTAGTCATGGTCCGCAGTAGCATCTTCAGCCTGGCTAGCTTTCTGAGAGGACAAGCTGCCGTTTCTTCGCCCTCTCGAAAGCAGACTCTCTCATTGCCGGTGCAGTGAAGTTATTCCAGGCAAACAGGGAAGGAACAGCTCCACTTCTAAGGCGGCTGGTGGTGGATCCGCTAACAAAATCCTCCGGTGTGAAGTGGTGGCTACATACGAAAGTACTCCCCGTCTTTATGCAAAAGTCCGGACCTTCATTACTTCGGATCTCCTGGATCCACTGCCTCCGTTGGTCCGGGTCCGTCAGGAACATATGATATGACAGATGAGGCTGTTTTCTTGCCCCACATGAACAACCAGGGACTGAACAAAAACAACTGTGCCGAGACTGAGCCATTTTCCTAGCCTTTTAATGCTAACGCTATAGCCACCGGAAGTTGTCCAATCCCACATCCGTTTATAAAACTCGGAAGCGTGAACCCCGCGCATGCGCACAACGTCCCGGGCCCCGCGCATGCGCACAATCACCCCGGCCCCCCGCATGCGCACAACCACCCGGGTCCCGCGCATGCGCACAACCACCCGGGTCCCGCGCATGCGCACAACCGCCCGGGCCTTACGCATGCGCACAACCGCCCGGGCCCCGCGCATGCGCACAACCGCCCGGGTCCCGCGCATGCGCACAACCGCCCGGTCCCGCGCATGCGCACAAGCACCCGGTCCCGCGCATGCGCACAAGCGCCCGGTCCCGCGCATGCGCACAACCGCCCGGGCCCCGCGCATGCGCACAACCGTGCTGGCCCGGCGCATGCGCGCAACGGCTCGGGCCCCGCGCATGCGCACAACGGCCCGGGCCCCGCGCATGCGCACAAACGCCCCGATCCCGCGCATGCGCACAACCACCACGGCTCCGCGCATGCGCACAACCGCCCCGGCCCCGCGCATGCGCACAACCGCCCCGGCCCCGCGCATGCGCACAACCGCCCATGCCCCGCGCATGCGCACAACCGCCCCGGCCCCGCGCATGCGCACAACCGCCCCGGCCCCTGCGGGTGGATGTGCCGTGTAGTCATGGTTCGCAGTAGCATCTTCAGCCTGGCTAGCTTTCTGAGGACAAGCTGCCGTTTCTTCGCCCTCTCGAAAGCAGACTCTCTCAGTTATTCCAGGCAAACAGGGAAGGAAGAGCTCCACTTTTAAGGCGGCTGGCTGTGGATCCGCTAACAAAATCCTCCGGTGTGAAGTGGCGGTTACATACGAAAGTACTCCCCGTCTTTAGGTAAAAGTCAGGACCTTCATCTCTTCGGATCTCTTCGCTGCTTACTGGTCGTCCTTGAGTGGAGCTGATTGTTACAGGAACAGAGATAGCGGAGTCATTCTAAAATCAATCAATCAAATTTTATTTGCATAGCACATTTCAGCAGCGAGGCATTTCTAACTGATTTAAATCATAACAAACACAAAAACACAAAGTCATGCGACATAGAATCAACAATTAAAACATTCAGTCAAGGTCCATCATTAAATTTGTAATTGATTACGGTTTAAATACAATTCAAAATGGAAAAGAGAAAGAATCCAATCTGGTGTTGGATGCAAAATGAACTTCACGCAGTTCTGTTCTTTTTTAAAAAAATAAAACAATCAACAAACTAATGTTAGCCTTTAAGTGCTTGAAAGACGATCAAGCCTTTTGATATGAGAAAACTCAGGTTTTTTAAGAAAATGGTAAGTTACCAATTATTCACTCAATCAATAAAATAAATCAACCATGCATTAATTTATTAATCTATTGTCCAGGTTGCTCTTAGTGCCATCACTCTTCAAGACAAATACAGTTTTACAATCCTGCAGTTCTGCAACATCTTTACTTTTTATAATCTTGAATGTCTCTTAGGGTGGTATAAGCACTTCTTTCTCTTCAGGATGAGCTGAATAGTCTTCTATTACAGCACCATGGCAGGTTTTGCTTTTAAAGCACGACTCAGTTCCATACGCCGACTGGCTGTGTGTCAGAGAGCTGGATACAAAGCTACCGAATCGCATATTATATGCCATTTGTTCAAATGGAACTGAGTTTCGTCTGTAAGTAGTATAGCATTTGTTTTTGTCTACTGTTTTTAATTTCTGCACAACTGACGTAAGTAGGTAATACAAAATGTGGAACTTAAATGAAGTACCATACATGTTTCTACCTGTCCTGACAGCAACATTAAATTCTTTATACACTCCGTTTTTATGTTCGGTGTAGACACGAATTGCTTGCAGTTCCTGTTGGGTCAGAATATCACGTTTTTTTATCTTGCTTTCATTGTCCCAATGAGTTCCATATCCGTAGTTTGTCAGTTCTTCTGAGTACTTGTCAAAGACTCTGTTCGTCATCTCATCTTTGCACTTGGAGTACATGTCATCAATTGATTCCTCATGAAATTCTAACTGCATTCTGACAGACCTCTGCAAAACAAAGGAAAAGAGAGGTGAAGAAACTCTAGACTAGAGAGACGTCTTTACGCCAAACACAGGGAAGCACAGTAATCGACACATTTCATGTGAAACTAATTTTCACACAAAAAACAATAATATGGTGACAAAATACTGCATAACCACCTTCATACATAGAAGAAAATTGCATAAATGTGTTGAAAAAGGGAGAAAGAAATAACTTATTTGTGATTAGAAGTATTAAGTTGAAATTAAAGCAAGCACACAATAAAAATGAGGAATTCACTGCCCAAAACAAAGTACATTGTGCAACATATTTTAGGCTGTCAAATAAGACAAAGGACAGAAAATATATCCTATCATTTTATGATATTTTTATTATTAATTTGTGATACAATTTTAGACAGGCAGATTTTAGACTCACCACTCCATTGAAGTGGACCCAGCAAAGGAGACACAATGAAGCAAAGATCATGTTTTCTTATTTCCCCCCTGCAAAATAATGAGCATGGTTCCTAAGTGACTTTCACAAATGCAGAAATAACATTTGAACTTCATGTGAATAGTTTTTAAATTCACTCGCCTGTGTGATGGTTATATCTGCAAATAAAGAAACGGAATGACTTCATATTGAGAGAGTTGTCTCAAAGTGTCAGAAGTTATACATTACATAACATCTGAGATGTGGAATATTGAACTGTTCCTTTGGAATCATATTTATTTCCATTAATGTTACCAAACAGAACAGTCAGATAATTCCATTTCCATACTGAATTTGCAGCGCCTGCTAGCTCCTGCATTGAGCTGGTTGATCCTGGATTTCCAGCTGTAATCAATCAATCATTTTATTTGCATAGCACATTTCAGCAGCAAGACATTTCAAAATGCTTTACATCATAACAAACACAAAAACACAAAGTCGTCATGTGGGGGGTTCTTGCCTTTGCACCCACAAAAGGTTTATTGGTTACACTCCTACTGGGTTATATGGAACTAAATACCTGGTATTTTTATTCCGACTCACGCTCACAATCATGCAGTTTACAACGGCCTTTCATCGGGCTTCCGGCACGAGGCTCGTACACGTCTTTCACGGAATTTAGAGCAGGGACTCCGTCATCCGTCACAGATTTTTGTGCAATTCTAGCACCGAAAGTTTTTGTTTACATTTTATCACTTTTGCCTAATTTGGTGTAAAATTTCTGTTTGTTTGTTTTATGTTTCTGTAACCCAGTTTTGTACTGGGAACCACCAGGATCCAAAAGCTAAAACCAGCAGAGACCAGTGTTAATCTGAATGACCTCTGGGGAAACCAAACTGTATCGCTCGCCCTCCCGGTTTTTTAATTCTGTGAGGATGACTTAAGAAATATTAGCTATCGTTTGAAATTTTACAAAAAGCATTAGAGAATTAATCACTGGGCTTCATCTTTACTCACCTTATGGCTTCTCCAAAATGAAGCAATAAATTGGAAGCGCAGTTCTGTTGTAAACTAAACTAAGCTTTCCCCTCCTTAAGTGTTCCTCTGATGTCAAACTAGTTATGTTAACAATCAAGATGAGACTTAATAGGAAAAGCAACAGAATTATAAGGTAACAACACATTCTTTGTCCTGACTGAGAAGAAAGGAATGTCAATACTTTGACTTCCACTGAAATGAAGGCGCTACTGCCAAAGCGTCTTTAACTGTTTGTGCCCCGGTTTGCCACAGGAAGATTCATCTTCACCGACACATCCTGCATAGCCTAGTAAAAATTAGCCTCTTGTTCTATTCATTCCTTCGCAAAGTGGGCTTAGACCCTCCAATGTTGAGAAACCATTGCTTTCTGGATGAGTGGCCTGTGTTGAAGGTTTTAATTTTAGCCAATTGCTATTTTGCCATTAGGTAATGCACCAGTTTGAAGCTATGAAGTTTTCAGCAAATTATCTGCGAGGAAACAACATACCTTACTGCTATAGGTTTTTATGTAACAGCCATCGTTTCCAAATAAATAAATAAATACTTAATCATAGTTAGCTAGTTATTTATTTTGTGCCATACACCATAAAGGGTGCCCAGACCCTTGGGCTTATAACACACACAAAGACATATCCAAAGACATAGACAGAGACATGAACATCTTTTACACATAAAGTGTCCTCTTTCGAAGAGGCCATGCTTTTAAAAAACACTAATTAACTGAAACTAACTATACTTAAATAAATACTGTAGTTGATCTTCGTCACTCACATTAAAAAAAAATCTGGGTAAACATCAAGGACTTAAATAAGTCCATCGCATTTTTAGTTTTATTTAAATCACACAGAGAACATTTTTGATCCTCCTATGGATCTGAATGAAATGGTACAGCTTCTAATGCTGAACGCAGAGTACCAGATCGAAGATGTCCACCTGCTAACCACTCTCCTTTATTTACATGTAACATTATTCTTTGCTTGACAAAAAGCGTCCAATTTTGAAATCAACATTGTTGATAGTGTAGACTAGTTCTAAGATTCCAGATTGAATGTGGAAGATTTTAAGAAAGTGAGTCAATCTCATCTCATCTGTTCTTGTGTCAATCAACTCCAAACCATTTCTTTGTTCTGTCACAATTATCAATTTATTCCATTTTGATTATCATGCTCCAAACTTTGCAAGGACTGACCTTCCTCATACACTCGAAGCCAGCAGGAGAGTGACCTTTCATTCATACTTGATGACGTCACGCCCACATCGACACGCCCAAAGTGTCAAAGACGCATGCTCCTGTCATATCAATAATTACTTATTTCATTCATAGGGCTCTTACAGAGCCTAAGTCAACATGTGTTTATTAATATTAACTCCTTGGTGCAAAACACGGATTGAAAATCAATTTATTCACTATATGTTTAAGCTGGAACGGCACTGAAAGCAGCCTTAGACCACAGATTTGTTGATTGCCATTTTGTTAACACATAACATATTACATCAACATGTTAGCACTACCTGGGTAAAAAGAAAGAGATTATAGAAACTGTATATACTAAGGACTGATAAACAAGGATGTAGGAATTTCTGCTCATCCATTTACAAAGTTATAAGACCAAATACTCTTTTCAGAAAAGGGCTTTGCTGTTTTTAGATATATTGCTGTTGACAATAAAGTGTCAGCTGTTAACTCACTACCACTCTCTTGTGGGTCACTCAAAATTACTCCAAACCTAGGAAAACATTTGTTTCTTCATTAACGTCTTCTTTAGAAAGGTACACAGTATGTCAACCTTTTAACTACAGTTGATAGCTACCATTGCAAGTAAACCTAAGAGCAAAGCTCAAGTTTTAACTTCAGTAGTCATCTTCTAAATGTTTTCTAGACAAAGGCAGCCCCTGAACCAATCATAGAGGTTATAGTATAAGGTTTCATGAACAAAGTTTAGTAAATAAATTATTGCCTTTTCATGGCCTACATATGTTGTTTGTACTGCAGAGACAATTCAATGAAAAAAGCTTTTTTATTGTTTCAGTTGTTTATTGATTTAATGGAAGCCAATTCATACACTTAAAACTGTTGATAATGTTGTATACAATAAGAGTATGGAAACATATGAGCCAATGTTAATGGTAATGTTTTACACAATATTTAAAAGGATTATATGACCAAAACTTTGGTACTCTCAAGCATTGAGCATAAGTCACTTTTTAACTAATTTGCAATCCAGGTTGCTCTTAGTGCCAATACTCTCCAAGACAAATGTAGTTTCACAGTCCTTTAGTTCTTTAACATCATTATTTTTTGTAAGCTCGAACATCTCATAGGGTGGTATAAGCACTTCTTTCTCTTCAGGATAAGCTGAATATTTTTCTATGTCAGCACCATGACACGTTTTGATTTTAAGGCAGGACTTTTTACCATAATCTTTCTGGTCAGGTGTCAGAGAGCTGGATGCAAAGCTACCAAGTCTTATTTTATCTGATTTAAATTTAACTTCACTGGAGTATCGTTTGTAAGTAGTATAGCACTTTTCTTTGTCTGCTATTTTTAATTTCTGTACAGAAGATACAAGCAAGAAATATAATTTGTGGAACTGACATATATTTTTACCATATTCATTTTTACCTGTCCTGACTGCAGGGTTAAATATTTTATATACTGCGTTTGTATGTTCTGTGTAGACACGAATTGCTTGCAGTTCCTCCTGGGTCAGAATATCATCAATCTTTTCTATTTTGCTTTTTTCGTCGACACAATGAGTCTCATATCCTTTTTCTTCCAGTTTGTAAGAGAACTTGGCCGAGAGCATTTTCCTCATCTCTTCTTTACAATTGGAGAACATGTCATCAATCGAATCTTCGTAAAGTTCTAGTTGTATTCCCTCTGACCTCTGCAAAAGAAAGAAAGGACAAAAAAACTTTTGAGACAGGTTGTATCACGTTGTTCTTTTTTTCACTATCACCAGTATTGATTCAAAAATCATATTTGCACCAGGTAAGCAACATTCACTGTGACATTTCTACTTCCTGGACAGATTGTGCACATAGAGAACAAATGCATTCCACATAAAACGCCTTACAAAGCTGGGACTATAGTATATCATCCATCCATCCATCCATCCATCCATCCATCCATCCATCCATCCATCCATCCATCCATCCATCCATCCATCCATCCATCCATCCATCCATCCATCCATCCATCCCCTGTGGGGTATGGAGGGGTGCTGGTGCCTATCTCCAGCTAATGTTCGGGCAACAGGCATGGTACTGCCTAGACAGGTTGCCAGTCTATCACAGGGCAACACAGAGACACACACACTCACACCTAGGGAGAATTTAAACAGACCAATTAATCTGACAGTCATGTTTTTGGACTGTAGGAGGAAGCCGGAATACCCGGAGAGAACCCACACATGCACAGGGAGAACATGCAAACTCTGTGCAGAAAGACGCCAGGCAGGGAATTGAGCCCAGGACTTTCTTGCTGCAAGGCAACAGTACTGTATGATATGATATGATATGATATGATATGATATGATATGATATGATATGATATGATATGATATGATATGATATGATATGATATGATATGATATGATATGATATATGATATATTATATGATATGATGTGATTTAAGCATTTATTTTTTGCTGATTAAAATGATTACATCTCACATCAAATGAAAACGAAAATTATTTTTTCCAGACAAAACAAACACAAAGACATAACAAATGACCACAGCCTGACATTACATGAACATAAGGAATACTAAAACAACCAAATAGAGGGTTAAAGAAACTGTAGATATCAAACACAGAACAGAAAATAAAATTGTAACATAAAGAACGATAAGAGGACAAAATACTGCATGCCCTCCTACAAACATATATTCATATGTTAAAAAAATTTAATGCAGAATAATTCTCAATAAAAAAATGAGAAAAATTCAGCCCCAAAACAAAGTAACTTGCATAGCATATTTTAGGTTGTGAAAGAAAACAAACAACATTAAATATTTTCTATAATTCTTAAATATTAATTTGTGATCAAATGTTTGGACCATCAGATTTTAGACTCACCACTCCGTTGAAATGTCCCCAGCAGAGAAGACATAGTGAAATAAAGATCAACATGTTCTCTTTTTTCTCCTGCAGAACAAAGAATTCATAAATTATTTTCACAAACACAAAAATAAGCTACTTATATTTTCTGTGAATAGTATTTAAATTCACTCACCTATGTAAAGGTGATTTCTGCCAAAAGGAATGAAGACTTATTGAATTTAGAGAGCTGTCTCAAAGTGTGAGCAATGAAGTCCAGAGCCAGAATATATACCACAGCATATATGAGTCATAAAAATTTCAACTGTTCATTTGGAATCTTATCTGTCATTGTTAATGTTATCAAACAGAAGAGTCAAATAACTCAATTTTCATGCAAAACTTGTATTGTAATGTGAATATAATTTATAGCATAAAGTTTCTATTGAGCCAAAAAAGGAAAAAAGTGAAATAAAATCCTCCTGCTTGTTGTAAATTTTGGCAATAGGTATTCAGTTTGAATATTGCCTTCAAATAGTCCATTGGCCAGATGCCAAAATTTCAATTTTTTATCCATTTCAGGGTGGCAAAATCTACCGATATTTTTTTTAAAAGACACATGTCTCGAGTTAATATTTTGATAGGATTCCAAAGTGGTAGCTGAGTCATAGTTATCAGCTCATGAAGTAAACAACCCCTTTGGAGAAATTCTGTTTTTTGAGACTGGTGCATGTCTGGTTTAGGCTCATAGTCAAAGGTCTATAACAGGAGTGTCAAACTCCAGTCCTCAAGGGCCGGTGTCCTGCAACTTAGATGTGTCTCTGCTGCACCACACCTGAAGAGAATAATTAAGTCATTAACAAGGTTCAGGAGAACTGATCTATACAACAAGGAGGTTAATTAAGCCATTTCATTCCAGCGTTTTGAACCTGTGGTGCATCTAAAAACTGCAGGACAGCAGCCCTTGAGGACTGGAGTTTGACACCTGTGGTCTATAAAAGTGTTTGTATATATTAAAGGAGACACTTTTGGCTTTCATTTAAACTAGGCTTTGAGTCTCTGTGACCAGCACAAGAGTCTCTAGAACTTGTTTAAACCAAGGAGGGGGGTTTGTTTTGAGTGTCTAGTTTGTTAGTTATAAGAAAATAAACAAATCACTAATAGAAATTTGCACTTACATGGACTTTAGAATGCTATAGGCCTGTTTAACCAGATCTGGTCAGTTTTTCCATTATAGGCTACAGTTATGTAGACCATGATGACTACATAGAGACAGAGCAGACACTGTGGGAGAATACCACCCTCATAACAAATAATGACTAATTCTGACTCATTTAGAGTCTATTCAATATTTTGGTGAAAACTGGATAAAACAGGAAATATCAGGCCACCAGTTTGTCAGTATTTCAAGTGTTCAAAACAAAAGTCTAAGGAATTATGGACATAAACCAATGTGAAACACTTTGTAATGTTTTTCATCCAGGCGACAAAGGATTGAAAAATCCAGTGAGAGCAGATGTGTTTTCTAAAACATTTGTTGTAAATGTACCAGTACATCATGTGTAAGACTATATGTAAGACATTAAAGATACAATGTTGTGCTGGAATCAGGGGTTTATAGAAACAATTTTCTCAAACCAAATCTAAGACAGGTTCCAGTAGAGAGGCTTTATTGCATCCAACTGTGCAGTAACAGATTTACATCAATAATTGTGCATTGTGACAAACCAATGCACAATTATTGCATTTTGTTTATGCTCCTTCCTGCAGCAATTTACCTGTTCAATCAGGAAATAGATACAGATCATTCTGCTCTGTTAGAGCTCTTGCAGAGCTGATTGGTTCCTGAATTCCAATCTTAAATTAATCCCGGTCAGTGAGAAATTCTGATCAGCTTGTCAAGATAATGGTTGCACTACACATTTTTGCTTACAAAAGTTCTTGTATGTTAGTGGAACCATCAGATTTGGTAAATTTGGGTTAAAATCATTGTAGGATTCTTTTTTTTTTTTTTTTGCGTCATTTTATCTTTGTGTGATCCAGTTCTGTATTGCTTTTTTATTAACATGTCACATTCTATATTTTTGTTTATTCTTAATTATAAACCAAATTCAAACCCTTTCAGTTTTTTTTTACATAATTTGTTAGTGTGTGCAATTCTGACACCCCTGCACCAACTGCATGTTCTTACATATTCTGCAGATTATAATTATGTACATTCATTTTGTTGTACATCTTCTTGTCGCCCTTTGTGGTTTTACAAAAACTCTGTGGAGCAGAGAAAATGTTTGATTCCTCTGAATCATCCTTGTATTTATGGGATTTACTTGGGAGTATTGGCCTGCTTCTGCCAGGAATATTAATGAAATGTAAGTGTTGCAGTATGATTTGTAAAACAAAATCCATCGGTGCCAGCTATTGACAAATCATAACTATGATCATTAGCAGACTTGGTTGAGACTGAATAAAGCAGTACTTTATAGGCTGCCCATACTTTGCCCACATATATTTGTGTAAACAAAAAAATGCTTGTAATGAAACCAAGGAAACCTCCAGATAATCAATGTGGCTCAAAAGTGTTTAATATAAGAGCACAACAATTCAGTATCTTACTGAAATGATGGATTTTTATATCTTGACCCTTTCTCTTCAATCTAAACTCTGAAAGAAAATAATCTCCATCCAGGAAAAAAAAAAAAAAAGCAGTTTGTTTTCATAACCGTCTCAGAGGTGGCGTACAACAACCTCTATCTACACAAATAATAAAACAGACTTCAGTTCATGAAGCGTTTGTTTCGTTCTCTCTTAAATAAAGACATTTATTTCTGTCGCAGATGTGGGACTCTCAGTTGTCTTCAGCACCGGTTGAATCCTTTAACCGCTCCACACTGTTGTAGTGCTCTCCTAGTCCATAGGCATGATGCATATATCTGTAAGCAACAACAAAATATATTCTGTGACTGAATAACTTTATTTACCTCCAACAACTTTACACACTATGAGATGGCCATTATGCTGTCAGATGTTCCTAATTACATGCTGTTCAATCATGCATTAACAACAGCAAAGGCATATATTATTGGAATATAACTACAAATAGAAAAAATGCTCTCAGTGCTGCAGTGCATCAAAGTCATGAGAGAGACTAACTTTGCATAAAAAGGCTACATTTAAATGCAGAAAACCTGAAACGGATGCAAATGTAATCGCACTGTTTAATGCAGATGTAAAGCATTGCTAACCACACTGGTATCTCTTATTTAACTTTGTTCCTTCTGTTTAAAGTGTGTTTATGAAGTAACAATCTTACACAAGAGTGATGACTTCACCATCATATTCCTCTCCAATCCTGATTGATGGGGAGTCGGCCTGGATCACTTCTATTGGCAAATTTAGCACCTGAGTCAAAGCTCGGAGCTATGAACAAGAGTAATACAAAATGACTGAAAAGCATAAGAACAAATTAGCTGCTCTAAATGCATGTTTTCCTAAAAAATGACAAATAAAGTGGCATAGTAACGTACTTCCAGCTGGCCGCCCCAAGCTGCTGTGTGCTCCACATCGCTGCAGTATTTCTCAAACTCGTCTGGAAACAAACACAAAATGTTAACGTTTATTTTGTTCTTTACCTGCACCTCGGTCAGTATCTTCATGTAGAGTCATAAGGAAGTCAGGTACCTGGTGTGAAGATGTCCCCAGTGTTGGGGTTAGTGAGGAAAGGCAGAAAGTCGTCAGCATGGTTTCTCATGTGCTCAGCAGTGCGGGATCGGAGCTCCTTCACATTCATCTTTAACCCCAACTAAGAGAAAACAGAAGAATTATGGCAATGTGATTTTGCATCGAAAACAAGCACAAATAGTTTCTTAAAAATTCCCCAACTGGGCATTTCAAATGGAGAAACTACCAAAAGAACATCAGCATTTTTTTTGCTGAGTGCACGTCTGATTAGATAGTCAAATAATTTCAACATGCCGTTTAAATAAGCCACCTTTAATCGCTGTGCTAGCTGGTCTTCAATGGCACGGTACATGCAGTGTCCATCAGATGAAATCTCCTTTATCTGAAGCTGTTGCTGGGCAAGTTTTTGAGCTAGCTTTAAACCCTCCTGGTGCCTCACGCCCTGCAGGTTCTGCACCTCTGCCTCTGCTATCCTGCTTTCTCTCTCCTTCTCCTGTGCAGCCTTCTTGTCCTGGAGAGAAATGTTCATGCAAATGCTCAAGTGGAAGCAATAAATAAATATTCAAAGGTAGTAAACTCTTAATTTTATTTCAACTAAAAGATAACTGCACTTTAAGTACATTACAGACCAATTGATAGAATGGTC